AAAATGTTATTTGAGGATGAAAGCATTTTTCCGAAGGTGAAAATTTCTTTGTTGGTAATGTAATTGCATATAGTCCGGAAAGTGATCCAAAATTGCCGGCTTGCAATCGTCCGCTGAATTTACTACATATTTACGACGGGATGGGTGAAATTGAGTAAGTCTGCTTTCTTGTGTCGTCGAGTTAGTCGTCGAGTTTGATCATTTTTGAAAATAGTCTTATGACATCATCCTTTGGAATCTGTTGTTTGAGGATCATTTAGCTTCAAGCTCGATTCATTAGACATTGCTGTCACAAGACTTGGCAGTATTTTGGCACACTTTACAACACTCGACACAGACATATTTGATAATACCATTGCTTTTCAGTTTCAGCGTGATTAGAAGTTCTCCGTGGCGATCAACTCTTACAGAACTTCATCTTGGGTATTACATAAGAAATGATGGCATTGAATACATTGGACTTTTGCATAATTTAAAGGTTTTTTCGTGGGGTCTAAGTCTTAATACGCTCGATGAAGAATTCGCTCACATAAAGGCAAGAAAAATACTCTCAAAAATATGACACTGACGCTGTCAACAGTATGAGGGTAGTACAAATCAGACCGTTATAAATGAAGCGCGTGGTATATTTTCAGGAGTTCCGGTCAAAATTTCAAAACTTTGAACTTTTTGATTTGTGTTGACTAAATGATTCATAGTTCCAATTTTATAAAGCGATTCTTTATAAAGAAAATATGAAAATGGAATAGATCGATAGTTTCAGGGTACAGGACTTTCTTTTCGTCCCGAATTTGACTTAATCTAACACTTTTTTTTTAATTAAATGTTTTCATATTTTTACATGTTTCGATATAAATATCTTAAATAATTATTTTAATAATAACTTTACAATGAGTTTGCAATAAGCATTATGAAATGCAGTACCGTTCTGGTTTTCTACACTACTTTTTGAATATTGCAGAATTTATGCAACTTGGAAGAGCTGAGGGTAATTTTCGGTGGTGAAGATTGTAATGTTTCGTCCGAAGGGTTGACTGTTTTATTCACTTTGCCCGATAAGGAACCTGAGAAGTCATTTCCGTACAAACTTAAGCATTTAGTAATCGGAAAGTTCTACGGGATTGATGGCGATCTGCTCCAAACCATTGACCGGAAGTGAGTTAATTTTGTGGAGATTACATTTGGGTGGAATGGTAGGATCACAAAATGCTCCTTAACCAATTTTTAATAGTTTATATCACAAATATGCTGCTACTGTAATTAGATATAATTCACTGCAGTTGTCCAAATTTGCGAACACTTGGTCTGCCACACAGTGAATATTCAGCATCTGGTGATGAAGTTATGCCTTCCATTATTAGTAATTTCAAGTAAGTAGTTTCTTTCTTATCATTGATTTATCGAAATATTTTAACTGTTATTGCTGCTTATATTTTCTATTTTTCAAGAGTTTTTTCGATGTCCAAAGAATAAGTTCAATTCATAAGTTCAATTTTTCACTGCTTTGCACTACTCGGTCCAGGATCTTCAAAGTTTCCTCTTACATAAAGTTAAATAACGATTCCGAATGTCTTTATTTCAGGCATTTGATGTTTCTAGATTTAAGCAGCTTGGGGGAATGTTATAAAGATGAAGTGTGGAATAATCTGAACGACGACGATTTGCCGGATTTACGTCTCCTCAAACTTCATGGAAATAAGGTGCTATTTGCTGGAGAGGAGCGTGAGATTCAGAATTATTGCTCAAAATTCATTTGATGAAGGGTTTTCGGTTTCAGTTTTAATGGATATGCCGAGCAATTTAGATATGGAAATAGTTTTTGGAAGACTTCATATTTTTCTACTGTGAGTTGAAAATTAAGTTTACTCTGGATCGAGAACAAACAATGAATCGTGACAAAAAAAGAAAGATAAAATCGTTCGGAGAAATATACGCTTGTTTTTCAGGTTAATATTGAAAATTTACAACGCTTGAATTTGAGACGACCTAAACTGTTAATTTCAACCAGAGTGAATCATTTTATTAACTGGACCGAAACTGAGAATGGTTGCGTTTTCCACGATACTTTTTATGGTGATATTAGAGCTGTAGAAAATGATTTGCGCCAGATCGACGGATTGCGTAATTTTGTAACAAAACCCGAACTATGCATGTTAGTTTATTCGATCATGAAACGGTAGAAAATCAGGTTTTTGACAATTTACTTTGCAATTTGCATTTTTTGATTTGTGCTATTTCATAAATTTCTTGGCTTTTCGTTGGTCCGACCTTCATTTGTATTGATATTATTTCTGTCGATATGTAATTATATTTTATGTTTCAGCTACGACAATCTTAGCTTCTACACTTTGACGCGTTCGTCCTCAGTCGAATTTCGTCATGATGGCAGAATAAGGCCTTTCTACGGTGATTCTTTATAATTGGATTTAAGCCGTACAAAAGTTCGCTTTTGAATAAATGTACACTTGGGTCAGCATCTTTGGAGTTACTCGTTTTCATGGTTCTACTAGTAAGCATAGATCATTTACATCATCTGATAAGAGAATCAGCGGAATCGTCAGCTGCGCAATGCATTGAGTTTCACACTTTTGAAATGTTTTGTTACTGTTAAGTGTTTTCTCATTTGTCAAGGTTGAATTTATTTACTTTCGGTGTCATTGCAGTTAAGAAGAAAAAACACTTCAGTGATGGCAAGTTTGTATGTATAATCATCGCAATATTTCATAAATTTTTACCTAAATAGGCATCGTACGTTTTAGTAATTGGGCGCTTCGCCTACAGGTAACTATCGTGCTCATCCTTCCTTTGTGCATAGTTTTTAAGGAGCAAGGAATTCTCTTTTACTGAGAGCGAAAAGCTACAATCAATGCAAATAGAAATCAATATACGTAAATGATACTATTAATTCATGCTCGGTGATAGCATATCAGTGTGTGATATAATCGAAGTTGGCTTAATTGCAAGGTGGTGGCCAGATTTCCACTGACACCCCTTGTCGCAGAGGAGAAGCTTGCATGTATTTACGGGGTTACCCTATGCTGGCGCTGGCAAAAGCCTTCAGTAGAGCCTCCTATGCTAAACATTTTTAGACAAAATGTGTTTACGGTCAGAATGGGTTCATTAGCCTTCGTGCAACCATTGTAGTAGAAGGACAATTCCGATCCCAAACCCTGGTAGATGGAACTCTTTTAACCCTATAAAGGTTAAATTATCTCAAAGAATGATACCTTAACTAAACCTGCCTCCTGAGAACTTCGCTGTCATCGTTCTAAGTCACTAGATCCTGGAAGATAAATCTTAACAATGAAGAGTAGGGCAATTCCGCGCATGCTATGTCTCACCAAAGAAATTCACTGCGCAGATTCGAAAGGTATACTCACTTTTTAAAATCTTGTAGCAATTGGTTCC